CCCCCCGCAAAGCCAGGCTGGAAGTGGGACTCAATCCCAGGCCTTCTTTGGGGATCAGAAGCCCTGACGTTGGAAGGTCATGGATCTGACAGCTTATCTCCCTTACCGTCCTGCTCCCACCCCGTCCCTCATCCTCATTTTGGCTCCGTTCTCCAAGGAGAGGGAATATGGATGGGTGTGAAGAACACCTTTTGGAGGAGATCCTAAGCCCAGAGGATGTGGCCTGTACAATGCTATGTTGTGGGGACAGCCCAGGTTCTGGAGCCAGTGAGGCCTGGGTTTTTATATATATGCTAGAAGCCCGATGCACGAAATTTGTGCAGGGGCCTCAGCCCCTGCTGCCGCCTCTGCCTCGGCCCCTACCACCATGGCTTCACCCGGAAGAACATCCGGTCTAATTAGCATATTATGCTTTTATTATTATAGATATATTTTATTGATTTCAGAGAGGAAGGGAGAGGGAGAGAGAGATAGAAACATCAATGATGAGAGAGAATCATTGATTGGCTGCCTCCTGCATGCCCCCTACTGGAGATCGAGCCCGCAACCTGGGCATGTGCCCTTGACCAGAATCGAACCTGGGACGCTCTATCCACTGAGCCAAACTGGCGAGGGAGAGGCCTGGGTTTGAATCTCTGTTCCGCCAGAGTTACCTCACCATATCCACTCACTATATCAGTCATTTACACCATAGTGTGAACGAGCCAGTAAGATCTTTTCCCGAGAGCAAACATTGTGGGGGGGGGGGGGGGGAGAAGAACATACACTAAGTGCCTTGGAAGGAAGCACTTGTCAAATCCTGGACCTGTAAGAGCGCAGAAGGATCCAGAAATCACTTCATTGAGTCCCTTATTCATTTCACAGTGGAGAAAAAAGCGGAGGCTTGAAGAAGGGGAGATTGCACAGGGTGCTGGCTAAGAATCTGGATGCTGGAGCCAGACAGCCTTTGCCACCTTGGCCAATTGTTTAGTCTGTTTGTGCCTCAGTTTCTTCATTTGTAAAATGGGGATGACAATGGTCTCTTAGACCAGGTGTGGGAATTAAGAGTTCATGTCCACAAAAGGCCTAGTGCAGTGCCTGGCACACAGTCAGCCCACAGGAAATGTCACTGCACAGCTTGTAGCTGGGCCTGAAGTCAGCATGGGAGACTCGTCCGTGCGGAAGAGGCTGGAGCGGGTGGGCAGTGACAGACGGTGACCTTTGAGGCTGATCCTGGAGAGGGCCCACCATCTGCTGGGCCTCCCGTGCCTCCTGCAGAGTGTTGAGACCGAGCGGCCAACGTAACTTTTGGATAATGAGAGTTCTCGCTGTCACAACAGTGGGGTGGAGTGGAGGGAGGGAGTGCATGAGGGACAGGCAGCAGAGAGGATGGAGGAGCGCCAGCCAGCGGGTGGGTGGGCAGGTGCCCCGCTTCCCAGGAGCGGCCTGGCCAGGATGCTGGTGACTGACAGCCCTCTGTGCACCGCCCTCCCTCCCCTTGTACCCCAGCCTGGCCGTGCGAAGCCTCCTGTCCCACCAGGGACCGTAGTGCTGGAAAGGTTCGCGGCTGCTCTAGAGAAAGTTGCCCGCCTGGTGCTTGGCTTGTCTGCTGCTCAGCGCCTAGCCCAGGGCTCCTGGGGATACTTTGCGGCTTAGCTAACACCAGCTATTCTGTTGAGGATGTGGGTTTTGTGTCTTCCAAGTATTTCCACTGCACAACTAAGAGAAACTTTCGAGAGAGCCCAGCACTCTTCCGCAGCCTGGCCATCTTCCTGGAAGGCAGCTCCACCTCCCCGCGCCCGGGCCAGCAAACCTGGCGGCACTTGACCACCCTCTTCCTACTGTCCACAGCCTCTCCTTGCGAGTGTGTCCTGGAGATGAGCACGCCCCCCCCCCCCCCCCCCCCCCCCCCCCCCCCCCCCCCCGCTCCTCCTGCCTCTCCCTGGGCCTCCAAATGGGGCAGCAGATCTTTGCTCAGTGCCCTGAGGCCCGGGGATCTTTCTGAAAGCCTCCGCA